CGTATAAACTGCCGGATGGGGAAATGATCTTGTAATTGGAATTCATTTTTACATGGTGCAGATCGGGAGAGAAAGAAGGACGAAGAATGTTGATTCGCGGAGGGCAAACACGTTATTGGAAAAATTCCAATATGGAGACGGGAAAAGCGAATTGAAAAATATATATTCTACGAATGTTTCATTTTCTCTCGCCGTATGATTTCTCTTCTCGTTAGTTGAATTTCATAACACACGCGCTCAATTTCGCCGACACGCGAAAAACTTTAATTCCGGCGTAAAGATCGACGCGCCATAGGACCATAGGATATTGTATTTCTTTTTAACGGCGGTATATTGCTCTCCATTGCAAAATCATTCCTACCCACGTTAGATTAATGCGGGAAAATATTTCTTGCTATTTCCCCGGAACAATTTGGAACGCCGTACAAGATTCTATCTGGTTTTGCTAGAACCGTAACTTACAACTCTCGTGAGTAATGGAATGGCAATTTATTCTTGGACAAATTCAATAAGAGCCGGTGATCAATCATGGAGCAATGCTCGTCGTGAAATCATTTGTATCGTTTTATCATTAAAGATAATCTATTAGGAAGAACGTAATTTGCTTTGCGATATCAATCTTTCTGCGGGATAGAAAAATCACCTGACTACATAATCGAGCAATCACACCTCTCTGATCTCAATTATAAATAAAAACCAAAAAAAAAAAAAAAAAATCACGAATACCGAATAAAGATTCAAAATGATAAAATTCTTCCGAAAGCACGTGTATAAACTGCTAGAGAGTGTATGTGTTACTAACCATTACCGATCCCGATAAGATAAACCGATCGAAATGAAATTTAAAACACGGATTAAATCAAGCATAAATTGCCTCTCCATTCCGTTTCGGAATGTTGGGTAAAAACCGAACGGTTAACCCGTTTTCTTTAAAATTCGCGATCAATGAGCAGCGAGCGAATCTCGCGGTTGATTTCTTTCTCGTCACGCCGCTCGGCCCGTCGGCTCTGCATTTCCCAGTGGACGGGTTTCGGTATATTTAATTGAAAAACATGTAATTCGTAATTTCCCAAGAGAGACGGGCTCGCGTCTCCTCCTCGTCTAGATCGCGTCCAGCTTCGCGAAGTGGAATCTACAAAACAATTTCGGAATAGCGCCGAGTGTTCTCCTTTTTGTTTCGCCTTTTCTTTTAGACTCCAGCTTAAATAAATTAACGCGCACCCGGCCCGCTCCCCCTTTCATTTGCCTCTACTCATTTCCGTGCTGAGACGCCGATCTTCGTGCCAAGGTTTATTTAGGATCGTTCGATTTAAATCTTTCGACTCCAGTGCTCGTTAATTAGACGGCTTGAAGGAAATGACCGGAAATTTCTAATATAGTATATATTACACGATTTCTCGAATCTCGGTGCATATTTATCGATATTGAAATACCGATATCTACGTAAAGAAGAATTTTTTTCGAAATATCCGTAAAAGGGATCGGAACGTACGGTTTTATTTGGAGTGTAATTTTTATACTCTGGATCTTTTTATATTTTCCAAGAAAAGCTATAGCGAATAACATAGTGGAAACGAATAGCTTTGTCCTGACGATTCGGTGAAATACAGAAAAGAGGTTTTAACGCGACCTAGTTTTCAAAAGCTTTTTTCCGCCAAGTTTCAATGTTTTTAGTATTTTCTCTCTCTCTCTCTCTCTCTCTCTCT